GGCGACCTTGGTTCTCGATTAAACTTTAAACTCTGCTGTATTGCGTGGTTAGGACCCGCATCGGGATGGATACAAACTCACATACATTTGCTCGGCAGTCCCTCAAGCATTAAATCTATTCGCATTCGCATTCGGTTATGTTATCCATCTCTCGGTCTCTGATCTCCCGTTCCATTCCATCAGAGTTGGCTGGTTGCTCAGTTTGGTATCAGTATCTGGCCCTGGCCCGTTCATTGCCTTCTCTCGGCTCTTTTTATTCGCGACTTGAATTATCGTTATTATTTTTTGCTCTTTATTTAGGTTTTCCAACGCCCGCACTCGGAAAGAGGAAAACTGCCACCAGAGATGCAAAGTACTTTTTAATATTCCCTCAACAACTCGAGACAACTATACTCTCGGTATTTTTACCACTTTTTACACTCCAAAGCGCTTAATGTTAATAAATATAATTCACTTTTATTTATATTACAAATATTAATAATATTTTTTTGTGTGTTTCAGATTGGGCGGCTCATAAACCAGTTCACTCTTCTCGGATGATAAATTTGTTTGAATATATATTATAAAAAAATAAAAAAATGAATATTAGTAAAGAATAAAATCCTTGAACCAAATAATATTTACTAGAATAAAATTTTTAAAAAATATTGACGTTAATGTAGATGAATATTTAGTGTATTTAATAAAAACAAATCAATCAACCCCAATGACGTGTGTTGGAATTAAACCGAGGGAGAGCAGACGGAAATTTATCAGGACGTATATATGTATAATAATATAATATATATATATAAATGAAAAGAGAGAGAGAGAGAAAGAGCAAACGGAGATGAAAGACATCATCAGAGTGGAGTAGAGCGTCGGTGGGTGCATTGACTCGGTCGCATTAGCGGAATGATTGACGCGATTCCGTTAGCCCGTCTACGATGGTTGCAGACCCTGGCTAATTGTCAAATTACGGAGATTAGAACAGTTAATGGACAGACACCGTATAGGTAAACCGGTGGTCGCGTGGACATGCGAATTGCCGCGGCGACCGCGAGAGAGAATAATTCATCTGCGCGCAGAATCCCCCGGCGAATCCCACCCTCAAGCTCTTCCACCACCTTATACCCTCCGGCAGCCCTTTCCACTCTCCATCCGCGATATATACATCTATATTTAACTCCCTCCATTAGCACTTGAGCCAAGTATCCTACCCCAGACCTTTACTACCCCACTGCTTTCATCCGAAAGCTGCCCAGCATCTCAACCCTTTCATTCGGTGGTATCATTCGCGCTCGCGACTCGGAGCAACCAGGTCGAACCTCTTACAACTATCAGCCTCTTCAACTATCACTCCATCAGTTCATCAGTCTATTGCTACCCAGTCTAGCAATACAATACAAACAGTTAGTGACTTGTGATTTTAGTTTACTCATTACTTTACTCTATTAACTAAATACCAAACTATAGTTATTTTTTGCTTTGATTTGCTTCGTTAATTGTTTAACTTTCGGGATTTCAATAGTGACTCGGTTGTGGTTTCAACAAGTTTAGCCAAGTGATTTGCAATCTAAAATTTTATTCAAATAGTAATTGCTCAAGAGTGATGAAGCTATTTGTAAATTCAATTCACTTTATGAGTTATTTTATTTTATTTTAGGTTTTATTATTGTGAGCAGCCCGTGATACGTCTAATAAAATATAAACTCGAGGTAACTCCCATAAAAATATTACCGGATAATCTTCACTAATATTTAATCCCTTTCAGAACAAGTTAAAAAATAATACCGTGAAAGGGTAAAGCCACTTATTGCTGTCACGAGTAATAAAAATTTTACTCTCTACTCTTTACTCTATTGATGTTTAATCCATTGCATTGGACATCAAAGAAACTGAGCTTCTTTGCCTTGTTTTTTTAATTAACTAATTTTATCTATAAATAAAATTTATTTATTTAATTTGCAGGATAAAATTTCAAGACATCTGATCAACTTGAAAGTGTCATCGAATACTCTTTATGCTTTTGATTGTTGCTCAGAAAGCCTTGTTTTGAAACTGGCTTTCGGGCAATAATCATAATCAGAGAAGGGTATCTATCCAACAATTTAGATTTAGATTTATAATAGTATAATTTATCAAGAACAAGTAAAAGTTTCAATAATTATTGGTGATGTTAGCATGAATTTAATATTGTAAATATCTGTCAAGTTGTTAATGTTTATGGTATTGTAATATTGCAATGGTATAAATATAAAATGTAAAATGAAACTCGAATTGCCAATGACATACGCCGGGGATTAAATCTAATGGATTTGTTGCATCAGCTCGGTAAACGCAGCTATTAATTACTCGCCTCAGAGTACAGAGGCCTATAGTTGTGTATAATATTATATTATATCCACTGACTTGAGTCCTGACTCGAGAGAATAGATTCTGGACCGTGAGGAGCGAGGAGCTGCCTGATAAATGCAGACACCGGTAAGGTGGGCGAGTATTCGCTTTCTAAGAAGCTGAGATCACGATAAAACGTGTTGAAGTAAACACAAACAATCAATTAAATCTAACTAATGTGTATTTTAGTTTTACTCACCGATTTTCTAGGAATCGACTGCCGTTATTCTCCTGTTTACCATGGCTTCAATCTTAAAATAACATGTACCCGCAACAAATCCCAGATAAATTTTCCTTTATCTTTAATTCTAAATAAAAAAAAACAAAATAGTTATTAGTTAATTAATTAATTAATGGATGAAATAAAAATAAATATTACTGTAAAAACATTTCAGTATTTTTACCTGTTGATTTAGCGATTGAAAAACAAATATTTGCACTGGGATTTAATTACCTTGGACGTTTATTCTCAAGCGTAAATATTCCTGGCTCTGTAACAGCAAACAATGTTTATTAATTAATATTTTAATATCAATAAAAAATGTATTAAATTTACCAATAGAAAAATAAAAAATGATCTTTTAAATAAACTCTCTGTTGAAAATTCCCCGGCCGAACAAATCCCTTGATCATATATATGAAAATTTGGTCGTGTCACTCTGCATTCAAATTAGTCTGTTCTCTGGATACACCTTTTAGTTTGGGATAAAGCAAATAAAAATAAAAATAAAAACAAAAATAAAAATAAATATCGCATTTACAAAGCTCGTATCTCCTATACAGGTGACAGTGTATCATGAGAAGCAGGACTAGAAGCGGGGATTCCGGTGTTCTCTGTTACCGAGCACGAACCACCTGAATAAAATCCTGGAGCTTGGCACACGTACGTACGTGGAAGATGTGGTATATATTTATATAACATATATAATAAAGAGTTGGTTTTTCTGGTTGTCAAACCGCAGCTCGTCCTCGTATTCTCTTTATATGCATTATTATATATTATATGGTATTGTTTAAAAGGAGAGACGAATCACAAGTTATCGTATGAAACGTGCAATGGGGATGGAGAAGATATGGGTCAGACATACAATATTAAAATTTTAAAAGCATTTCAAAGTACTGTTCATTCACCAGTCTGCTGGCCGGTGGCTCTAACTTTTATTGTCTACGTTACAGTAAACCTCGTTGGTTATTATCCCGGTTGGAGGTTGAGGCTGAGGCTAGTTGAAGCAAGTTCGCTCCTCTGATCTCCACCTACGACTTTCTATTAAATGTTTAGCATCAGTCTGCAAGCCAGACGAAAAAAGGAAGAGGAAAATTTATGGTATATTATTATGTAATGGCGGTGTGACAGAGCAGGATTGCCAGGGAGAGATTTTTGACGTGATGGCGGAGAGGAAAAGCTACGGAAGCAGGGAAATGAACCTGGTGAAATAGTTGACAGATTGACAGTCGGTCGTGTTAAGGCTTCTCGTTGAATATTTTATATTGTTTCACCTGTCAGAGAGCGACGGAAGGGAGCAGGGGGGAGGAGAGAAGAAAGAGGGTCTCTGATAGGTGATCTATCTATAGGTGTCCTGGCGAACTTTCGACCTGTAATGACCCCGGCAGTAGCAGAGCCAGCATCAGCATCACCTGGAACGGTGTGTGGATATTATGCTGATACAATGGATCGAGAGAGAAAGAGATAACCAGACGGCAGATAGATAGATAGATATTGGAGCTAAATGAGTTTAATGTGAAAATCAATCTCAACTTTTATCTGTCTTTGTCTGTTCCGCTTGTTTGATCTGGGCTTGGCCTCCTACTACTCCTATTCCACCTCCAGGTTCATCGGCAACACCACCAGCTCTTGTTACCGAATAAATTATTGGTTGTCCTGGAGCTGATCTCTACCGAGAATCACTAATGACGATATCATTTATTCATAATGATAGACTTTACTTTTAGCCTTTAGTGATTTTTACTCACGGTTATACTTTTTGCATCTCCTCCTCCTCCTCCTCAACCTTCTTCACCTCCTACTTTTGTTATTTCCTTTCTTCGATAAGATATTTAAATGCATTGTCTATTTTTGTTTGCACATTAACTATTTAATTTCCTCTCTGGCTTCATACTCTGACGACTATCTAAATAATTAACAACTTAAATCCGAGCGTTAATTAATTTTAATTTGCTTCTATTTAGATAACTTGGTTTTTTATTTATTAATAAGTTTAAATTTCTTAGATAAAAAACATTTTTCAAAAATATTTTAATAAGTAATTATTGACAAAATAATCCAAATATTTTTGATTCTGATTTGTTGTTTAAATAATTGGAATAATAATTTTAATTGAATGAATTGGTTAGTCTTAAATTTAATTTAAAATTTGTTCACGGCGCTGCATCACTCTTTTAAGGTGGAAATTCCACTGTGATGTAAGAGTCCTTTACGTTAGCAATTCTGCGACGTAGAACAAAGTTCACAGTTTATAAAATTACGATTATTAATATTTCTTAATATCACGATGAACAAATAATACCTTCTCACATATTTGGAATAAATTATAAAGAAAACACTTTTATTCATATTAAATATTTCAATTCAACAATATAATACCAGATTGAAACAATCAGCAAAAATGGATCGAGGTTATGTCGACAACAAAGAGGTTCAAAATTTAAACTATGAATGGAAAGTAAATAATTTTAAAGAATTATTTAACAAAAAGTCAGATTCGGAGGATTTTCATTTCGGGGCTCTTCTTTCAGACGAATTCTCATCGGGGGTGGTTCCAAATAAAAACACTTGGCAGTTAAATTTGCATTTAAACAACCATGAATCTTCTGAAAGCAACAAATGGATGTCGTTGTTCTTAAAACTAACAGTTCCTGTTATACGAAAAGTTGTTGTTGATGGAACATTTTATATTCTTGATAAAAAAAAATGAAAGAGTGATGATTAAAAACTTGAGGAAAACATTTATAGCTGGTACTAGAAACGGTGAAGCGAAATTTATCAAAAAAAAATAAATTATGGGACCAAAAAGATGAATTATTGATAAATGATATTTTAACTGTAGGACTTCAGGTTCTGGTCTACGACATTTCTGTCACACTTCCTAGTTTGCCTCCCAAAATTGAAAAGAACCAGCTAGCCAATGATATTCAAAAACTGTATTGTATTGGAGAAGGCTCTGACATTGTGATAAAAGTCGAAGGAAGAGAATTTAAAGCACATAAAGTTTTGCTGCTTGCTAGAAGTTCTGTGTTTTCAGTAATGCTTGCCCAGGACAACACATTTAGACAAACAAGTGAAATTTTAGTCCCAAATGTCAAAGCTGATATTTTTGAAAAATTGCTGGAGTTTATTTATACAGACCAGGTGAGGGAGCTGGATGAATTTGCTGAGAATTTGCTTGAAGTTGCTCAGAAATTTCAGGTAAAAGAGCTCAAGCATATTTGTGAAGTATCACTTAGCCAATTTTTGTCTGCCGAGAATGCTTTGAGGACCTTGACTCTGGCTAAGCGTAGAAATTCTCAAAAATTGGCCGATTATGTCATCAATTTTATTACTGTCAATGCTACTGAGGTGTTCAATTCAAATGAGTACAAGCAATGGGAGAAAGAAAAATTGAATCCAGGGCTGTTTATATTTCAAAATTCAATTTCGAAAGGTATTTTTAATTTTTTTTAATTTCATTGAATAGTTTTTAATTTTATTAATTGTTAATTCTTGATATTTATAGATAAACAATCTTCAAAAGCAGAAGCCAAGGAAAAAACATCCAGACTTGAGTAAAAAGCTAAAAAAATGATTAAAAAATATTTTTTTAAAAATAACGTCATAAATATAATTATTAATTACACTTAAAAATGTTTTTATATTACCAATTAGAGATTTGAAAAGTTTTATGGAATAATATATTGAATAAGTCAATAAAAAATAATGAATGAACGAGGGATAATTTATAAATAATATATTTATGAACAAGAAAGCATACATTACATACGATTATAGTTAATGTGTAGTTTGGATAAACTCAAAGGATTAATTATAAATCTATATTGTATTTTTTTCGTCCATAAATATATGTACCGCAAGTAAATTAAGATGAAAATAATAAAGGTAAAAAAAAGATAAAATCTTACAATTATCTCCCCGTTATCATAAGATTATCCGGACACAGATCTTAAGATGAGTCGGTTTACGTTAATTCCCGATTCAATACACTCATTAGCGAATGGTTATCGAATAAAATAATCAGCGGGGAAAGGCAAAAAAAATAAAATAATAATTATTTAATTTTAAAAATAGTGATGATGTGGACGGACTTGATGAAGAAGAAAGGAACTTACTAACAATCTTTCAGGCAATAACTGGTTTTTGAGGATAAAACATAGACGATGGTTCATCGTCTGAGGCCTCGGGGGCTTCTTCGGCTTCCCCGGTACCAGGCTACTTGGTACTTATACGCTTGTTTATATTAAACCATGCCTGTACTCGCTGCTAACTCTTGATCATCTCAATGATCTCTTCGGGGATCGCTGACAAGGATAATATGGCCATCTTACTATTTTCCTATCTTCCTATCAAGTGTTACTGACCCTTCTCTTATCACAAGACATTTTAATTTACCCAGTTTTATTATATATTTACATTTATTACCTCCCAGGTCTAATTATTCGCCGCTTAACTCATTAGCCTGTTCCTTATCGTCAAACGTACTTGCTTTTATAAAGCTTTTCATGTTTCCGCTCAATTATTTTTCTTCTGATTTTTTTAACAAACATTATTCCATAAAAAAAATTTTTTTTTTAAACTTACAAGTAAAAAACTCTTGTAAAATATTATTTTTTAATAAAAGTAAAAATTAATTAGATGTCTCTTGATAATTTCATATTTTTAAAAAATTTCTACCATCTCCAGATGGCGGATAAGTCGCGTGAGTTTCAAGTTTCTCCACCCGCGCGCCACTTTACTACTAAACAGTTGTTATTTTTCCAGTTTGTAAGCACATGTCAATAAAGTTAAAATTTATTTATCTAATTTGTTTAAAAAAATGAAACTAATAAATTTATAATTTTTCGTAAAAACTACAAAATACTATTTAGTTTTAAATAAAAATACTTTCCAGAAAAAAAGGTGAGTAATTTATCAGGCTTATGTTGATAAAGTAGTTTACGGAATAGAAATTTAATTTTTATTATTGAATTAATATATCAGCAATAATATTAAATTTGTAATTATAGTGGAACAAAATGAGCTGTCAAAAGGGAAATTCGGCTCGCTCGAGACCGCAGAAGCATCAGAATAGACATGCATTCAAAAATAATTTGCACGACACTTCGCATACGACAAAGACGATAAACAAAATCCAGGTTGTCAACGTCTGTGAAAAGTGCAAGAAAGTCATCGAGTGGAAGATAAAGTACAAGAAGTACAAGCCGTTAAAGGCTCCGGGTAATTGCTGCAAGTGTGAGCAGAGGTGCGTTAAATACGCGTATCACATCATGTGTGGACCTTGTGCTAGTAAGCACGAGGTCTGTCCCAAGTGCGGGGAAAAGACTGAGGTTGTCAAGCCCAGTGTCGAGGATAAACCTCTGACGCTCGACAGGGAACTCAGGCTGATGCTCAAGACCTTGCCTGAGAGGCGTAGGAGGACGTTTATGCGCTACATGAATAGAAATGGTTTGTACTTTGCGAAATTAAATTGAATAACTGTGATATTGAAAGTAATTGATATCTGCCAATTTTTAGAGTTTTTTAATAACATCGTTTAATAAAATCATGAAATAATGATTTTTCTTAAATTGCACTGTACTTTCTTAACTATTGAGATTTTTAAAGATATAAGCTCATCCTGAAGTTAAACTTGTCGAGACCTTTCATTCGAGTACCCACATCAATTTTTCATATATTTATATATATTATATATATGAATATATGAAAAATATATGAAAATGCATGT